TCAGCAATAGCCACTCTAGGCCTTTTGGTTTATTTTTGTTATCTGTTTGTCATTAAAAAATTACATATTTTTCCTAAGGTAGTTCTTCTATGAGCTTTTTGTTGCTTTGAATTGTTTCTAGTTGTTTTCCAAGGCTCAGCTCAATCTTAAACTCCCTCATGCTGAAATATGACTTCCTGTGCAGAAGAGCACTATAAACTGTAAACTCCTTGCAACAATTACCTGTGGAATGCCCTCTCCTCTTCAGGCTTCCTAATTGCTTCCCAGGGAGCTGCTCCTCCACTTCATGGACACTGAGGCCAGAGGTGAACTGGGCTGAGGATTCTCATTCTGGTAAAAATCCACATAGTCTTAGTTAAAAATGCACAAATCCAGACTACTCCAAGATAGTCCCAGATAGAGTTGTAAAGATACTGTTTCATTCTGTAGCCCAGGCTGGCTTTGAACTCGTAGTCCTCCTGCCTCAGCCTTCCAAATGCTGAGATTACAGGTGTGTGCTAGCCACTATGCCAGTCTTCAGAGATACTATTGTTGTTGTTGTTGTTCTTTTTGAGACAGGGTCTCCCTGTAGCCCCAGCTGTCCTGGAACTCACTATGTAGACCAGGCTGGCCTTGAACTCACAGAGATTCGCCTGCCTCTGCCTCCCGAGTGCTGGGATTAAAGGCGTGTGCCACCATGCCCGGCCAGAGATACTTTTTAAATTCACTTTTTAATTAAAACTTACCATCCACATAGAATTGTTGCATGAGACTGTGTGCACAGCATGATAAATGTCTCACAAGGTAAATCGACCTGTGTGTTTGTGTGGTTATAATTAGCTCACTCTCATTGATATATTGGATTTATGTCTATCTTTGTTAAATTTTCCATTCTAGTGTAAATAGGCATTTGAATTGTTGCTCAGGTTTGGCTATTATGAACAGTACTGTCTTGAATATTTTAGTAGATTTTTTGTGAATATATGCATATATTCTTTTGGGTACATATGTAGGAGTAGAATTGAAGAGTCTTATTGTATGTATATTTTCAGCTTGAATTCAAACTGTCAGCTTGCCAAATGGAACATTTTCCATTTGTTCCCACACAGGCAGTATTAGAGTTCCAGTTGCCTTATGTTTTTATAAACACTTGCCTTTATCATTTTCATTTTAGCTGGTCTGTGTAATAATGTTCCATTGCGCTCTTACTTTTTTTTTTCCTGATGAAATTGAACAAATTCTGATACATGTATTAGGTATTTGAATACTGTTTTTGATGGAAGGCCTATCTGAGCCTTTTGGTTGTATGTTTAGTAAGTTCCCTGTTTATTTCTCAGTTTCTTTCTTTATACACTCTAGTTTCAAGTCCTTCAATGACCATTTATGCATCACCAATATTTTTTTTTATCCTGCCACTTGCTTATTACTCTTTTAATCATATCTTTTGATTAGCAGACATTCCTAAGTTTAATGCATTGTGATTTATACATTGTTTGGGGATAGGACATAGTGCCTTTTCCAACCTTCTTAGGAAATCACTGGCAACTTCAAGACATACAGAAAATCATTGCATTCTCTGCAATTTTAATTTTTAGAGACATCTCTTTTAAATGTTTTCCCTTCCCTGGCACTAGTGATAGAAGAGCAGGCCTCACGCACACTAGGCGAGTGCTCTGCCACTGTGCCATGTCTTCAACTCCAGACATCGTTTAAAAAAACAAGTGCCCAAGTAGTTGTGCTGCAGGCAGCACACAAATGAATCACATTGCGCAAAACTGTGGTTATCTGCTCCAAACCTTGCATCTCATTTACAAGCTGTGCACCTTCCATCCCACAGCAAGGCTACCACCCTGGACTTTCCTTCTTGAAGTAGACTTACTTGACTGACTGCCACTGTCAGATCATTCTCTAGTCTCAGTTCTGCAGCAAGGACACACTTTCAAATTTGTCAACACCAGAAGGTAAAGAAGAGCTGGATGGGTAGGGCCCATGGTGGCTAGACCTTAAGTGACTTGTAGAAGGACAGCAACCACTTTCCTGGCTGATTGCATGATGATGAAGACTGAGCTTCAGATCTTACAGATTTCAAAGCAAACCCAAGCATTTGGGTTATGTAAAAGGTTCTGATTTATAAACGACATTAAGCAATTCAAACTAAAAATTCACTCTGTGGGAGAGGAAGAAAAGATGTTTGTTTGATAGCCTGTAGTTGAACTTTGTTGTAGGGCAGGACAGCAGGCAACCACTCCAAGTGTGGTTCTCTATCCAGTGGTGAGACTATCATTTGGGAAGATGCTAGAAATGCAGAACCTCAGCTTTCAACCTCAGAGCAGAGTATCAGTACCCAAGGTGATGAAAATTTAAGAAGCATCATTTGCTCATGTGGTTCTCAACCCTGGCTTGAATTGGAATCACATGAGAATTAAAAACAACAGCAAAAACCCCTCAAAATCCCCATAGCTGGACTACAGACCATGAAAGTCAGAATTCATAGTGAGGAAGCCCAGGCACAAGTATCTTAAAAGCAACCTGGAGGACTCAAATAGGCAGCAGCCAGAGTTCAGAAGGGCTGATTTGGGTGACTCCTTCATTTATAACTGGGGAAATTAAAGACCTCAGAGGCAGACAGGTCAGATGCTTTGTCCAAGTCCATTTACCCAGCCCGTGGGAGATCTCATTTGTCCACCTTCTCATGCTTCATGATTCCAAGCTAATGCTTTTTGGTTTTGGTTACTTCTGATCCCTATGGGGAGAACTAAAATACGATCCTGTTTGATTATAACTCATTACTGCCAGATTTTCAGTTAAGCTGCTTAGCTTTTAGCACCGAACAACTGACAAGATTTTCTGGATGAAGAACTGGAGACTGATGGGCCTTTCCTTCTGCCCAGTCAAGCTGAAATCCATTGCATTGTCACTGTGCATCACTCCAAACAGTGCTAATGGCTCTACTGTGAAGAAAGGGAAGGACCTCAGTGGGTGTCAAGATGCCTCTGTGGAGCCACACAGTGGAGAGCCCATGGCTCTTGGTAGCAGTATGAAGGTTGAAGTTCGGTGTCAGCCTGAGTGACTGTGATGACTTGTGGCCTGGCTCGTATTTGGGCTATGCCATTAGAACCACAGGCCCAGAATGTAAGACCTATAAGGCCTGCTTGTCTCTGACCTAAATTTTATAGGCAACTCGGAAGATTATATCAGTGACTTGAAAATAGTGGTTGATCCAAGATTCTTAACCCTTTTTCTTAGGTCCAGGTTATGCTTATAAGGTTCTGGTCCCATTGCACAGTCCTTGAGAAATGTCATGGTTGGAAGGACAGAGTCCAGCAAACAAAATTAATGTGTTAAAGACTTGAGTTCCTTTGTATTTGGAGGATACCGTGAAAGAGGCAGATATCTGAAGAGCCACCGGATGAAGAATTGTTATGGGTTACACATTAGTAGTGGTGTCCAACCTGTGAGCCTAAGTATGTTTATTTCCCAGGGATCTGCAACACAGAAGAGCTACATGGGCTGCTTGGGAACTGAGGACAGAAAGGTGGACACACCTTTGAGTCTGTAGCGACCTGAGTAAATGTCCCTGGCCTTCTGAATCTACTTCCTCATGTGTTTCAGTTGTGCTCTCTCCTTTTTCTTCAACCTTGTGCAATCAAGATACCATTTCTCTAACATCCTATTCTCTAACCAGTGTCCTGATATTTTTAAAAACACTGATTGATTGTATGAAAGACAATTCCCAGAAAGAACTCCTGCATCCTGAGCTGAATTTCCTGCAAGGCCAACCAACTGATATACACTTCAATGACTGGAGAGTTTGGAATGTTGCAGATCCAGAGTCTATTCACAAATTATCTGGGGACATAAATAAATAGCCACACCTTGCCTCCCTCTACTTCTGAATTAACATTCTTGTGACTAATAAAATGTATTAATTTAGCAGACCACCAGGTCTCACCAATCAAAAAGCTAAGAATGTCATCAGATAGCATCTGAGACCTATAGCGGAAACCACCTCCCCCCCACTTTGCTGTGACCTTCCTACTGAATGTATCCACCAATGTATTTGAAAATTGTTTTGATTTATGACTTTCCTTTGTTCTGTTACTATAAAAATGTAATGTTACTGTTATAACGATGGAACATGGAATTTGGGGGAGCCTACATCTGTGTTCCCGGGCCATGGTCGCTCATATTTGGCTCCAGAATAAACTATCTCTTATCCCCTTTGAAGTGAAAGTTATGCTTTTGCACCGACGACTGATTGTGTGTACAAGCTTGCATGTACACACACATGCACATACCTACGTGCCACGAGATAAGCATGCATTATGTAGTGGTCAGAGGACAATTTGCAGGAGTTGGTTTGCTCCTGGGGATTGAACTCAGATTGTCAGGCTTGGGCGAAAGCATTTTTACCCATGGAGCCGTCTTACTAGCCCACGATCTTTCTTCTTGCTCTCTGCCTTTTTTGGTGGTGGTGGTGGTGCTTGCAGTGAGCCCAGAGCCTTGAGCAAGCTAGGTGAACATGCTGTCTCGAGCCACAGCCCTGTCCTTCTCACTATACTTCTAAAGCTACAAAGACAGGAACATTTTTAAAAGCTGGGAGGATAGGGACTTCAGACATGAAGGACCCTGTTTATTGGGTGAAAGGGAGGACAACATGGGGATAGTCACACATTTCAAAACCGTTGCAACCACGTCTTGGACATCTCTCTAATGATGTCATTCGTTTTCACTCTACTTCAGTCTTCCCATTAGCCACACACTGACCTAGGTCTTTCTGTAGTTAGATTTGTAATGGTATGTGTAGGTTCTGCATACATAAAGTACCTTCAGTGTACTAAGTACAGAATTGGTTTGACCTGTGGGTGGGAATCTTTAATAAGATGAGGAGACTCATACTGCTGCAGGACTGAGATAGCATATATGACAGTTCTTTTACTTAAAAAATTTATATTTATATTTATATTTTTAATTTTTATTATTTAAAGTAGCTTTATATTGCTTCAGTACACAGGACAAATTTATACCACTAGAGCAGAGGCTGTGGATGACTCATATTTCCAATTGAGTGGGAGGACCTGCTTAGTCTTGTAATAACCAGCCAGCCAGTGAATTCTGCTATCAGAATCTAGTGGAATTTAGCACCCTTAGCCTTTCTGTTCCTCTCAAGATGCTTGGGAACAGCAACTGCTTCCTTTTTTTTTTTTTTGGTCTTTTTTGAGACAGGGTCTCCCTGTAGCCCCAGCTGTCCTGGAAACTATGTAGACCAGGCTGGCCTTGAACTCACAGAGATCTGCCTGCCTCTGCCTCCCGAGCGCTGGGATTAAAGGCGTCTGGCCACCACGCTCGGCAGCAGCTGCTTTCTTAATGAAATGGTAGAGATCCTCAGGAAGATCAGGAGCCAGTCCTTTGGATTTAAGGATTCTCAAAATTATATTACCAGTCACAAAACAGACTTGTGCAACACCATGGGAGTCCCTCAGGATCACACCGATCTGGGATGGAGTCAGGCCTTTCTTGGCCAGCTTGTAAATCTGCTCCATCACGTCGTCAGACGTCAGCTTCAGCCAGGTGGGGACGCTGCGGCGGTACGGCAGAGCTGACTGCGACAGGTCCTTCCCGGGAGCCTGCATGCGACCCATGATGGCAGCGGTCTGGCCGTTTATTTTTATGTGTAGGAGTGTTTTGTTTTCATGTATGTAAGTGCACTCGTGACATGCAATGCCCACGGAGGCCAGAAGAGGGCATTGGATCCCCTGAAACTGGAGTTATGCGTGGTTGTTAGCTACTATGTGGGTGCTGGGAACCAAACCCAGATCCTCTGCAAGAGCAGCCAGCACTCTTAACCACTGAACCAACTCTCATTTTATCTTCTTCAGGTAAAGAAAGCCGGTCCAATGATCCAAACACATCCAGCGAGTGTATAGCTTCATCCAAAAACAAGGAAAAATGTTTTCTGCAACAGAATATGAGTCAAGGTACTGCAATCCCCCAAATAAGCGCTATTTGAAAAACCACTTTCCATGTAGACTGTTTCTGGAACTCCTTTGCCTTGCCCACCTGCAGACTCCTCTCTCTTGTCCCTTCCATGTGCCTCCTCCAAAGGCATCTTTGCAAGCATGACTTTATCATGTTGATTTGCTCTCAAACCTTCCCAGGCTGTTACTCAAAGCACTTCAGAAACTGCATTAGAAGCTTCATATATACTTTCTGGGTTAGAGAAATATATCATTGATTAGATTTTTAAGGTGGTGGTGGGGGGCAGGGATAAATTTTTTCAGTAACTGTGTATTCAACATGGTTCCTTAAAGAGCTTTTCATGTGTAGTTGGTGCTCAGAAAATGTATGACAAAGACATGGATTGTTGAATGGACATGTAGAGGACATGCTCGTATTTGATATAATACAAACATGTCTCATAGGTAATAGGCTCTGAGTAAATATTTGTTAACTTAATGACTATTTGAATGTGTAGAATGAGCTTATGAGGCTGGCTATGCAGAAGGGGCCTCTATATGAATATTGTAGAAAGAGAAAAAGATTTGGAAATCACTATGGCAGAAAACAAACATTAATTTCAATTCATGTCTTACAGAGTTCCCTTTAAGAGACTTCAGTCAAGCCCACAAAGCAAGAGCTGTCACTAGACAGTGCTGACCATGGGGTGAACCCTGTAGTAGAAATCCCAAGACAAGCCTATAGGAGATGTGGCTTCTGTTGTGCAGTAGCAGGCACCATTGTTGTGAGCTGATCCTGTGCCAAGGAGGACTGTTCCATAGGCCTTTCTGCCTCACATGTCCCTCTGTATGGTGACACTCAAGTCCCTAGCTAGCAGGTGGGAAATAGTCTCAGGAGGGAAGGTGACTTCACCACCACATCTTTAACATGTGATGAGAAAGCTCAAACTCCTGCTCTGTTTGTGACTACGGTGGTCCAACACCCTTCCAAAAATGTACCTCTTCTTGGGACATAGATTTGTGAAAGAGTTACATTTAGAGTATTTCTAAGTCTATAAACTGTAAATAGATGCACGCTTATCACAACAGGCTCTTTCTATTCCCTGTTTGAAACTGTGTCTGTGTGTCTTCAATAATGAGACAATCCTTGCCCTTGGTTTTTTGCTGTTGAGTCATTCTGCTTATCATCTGTCAGCTTGGGCCATATAAGAAAACCCCCTGAATTAGCGTCTGTTGTTCCAAGAACACAGTGGAGTCAGCAGCATTTTGCCTTATTAGTGCATGAGAACCAGTGACCAAAGGGTGACTTTAGGTGAAACCAAATCTCCTGCTGGCTGGGCTTGTCCATCTCAGCGTCTCCTGCCACCACGTTGCTTCCAGGAAGGTCACCGTGTTCAAAGCAGAGACTTGGCACTAGCTGCCAACCTTTCTTTATGCAGAACGGTCACCGATGCAGAGACATTATTATGGTTACCAGCCTGGCTCCTTTCTGTTCTCTTTCAGACCTGACTCTCTCATTCTGTGTGAAGAGCCGCTCCAGGAAGGGTGTCAATGCATCTTTACAGGAGACTGTGCGCAGGCGTCTCTGGGCGCTGGAGAATGAGGACCAGGATGTACGTGTTCTGTTCAAGGTAAGCTAGGACGATTGGATCTTAGATCTCAGATAGCTTATACCAAGGACACTGCCTGGAGCAGAGTAGGCCCTCAAGAACACATCTGTTTGACAGAGGGAATGAATGAATGTGCACATAGTATCTGCTTAACAGGAATGAGCCTGCCTGAGTTAGAGAAGACTTGAAAACTTTGGGCAAGTTACTTGAACTATGCAGAATGGGAATGTTTACAACTACTTAAGTGTACTTTCTTTTCTAGTATGCTACATTTGCATTCTGTTACTGGGACAATATTCATACATTTTTCCATTGCAATCCTTTTTTTTTGAACAGGGTCTTGCTGTGTGGACCAGGCTGGCCTCAAACGTCCCAATCTTCCCTCCTCAGCCTTTTGAATGCTGGGATTACTGGCCTGCACCACCATGCTCAGCCCATTGTAATCATTTCACAATGCATATTCACATATGATATTTAATACGTTCACAACTAATTCATCTCCAGAACAATAACTGTCATTCTCCCTTCTCCTTAGGTCTTTGTAAACATTATCTATCTATCTATCTATCTATCTATCTATCTATCTATCTATCTATCTATCTATCTGTCTGTCTGTCTGTCTGTCTGTCTGT